CTTTGCTTTCAAATGGCTTGTAAAAGTGCCGTGCGCATTTTACTTTCACTTTCAAATTAGCAGCAATTGAATTGCCGCAATTCGGCGTCAAGCAATAGTTCGTTTGAGTTTTCCCTCTTTTCCTCAGATTTCTTGGCTTTCAAATAGCTTGAAAAAGCGCCATGCACATTTTACTTTCACTTTCAAATTAGCGGCATTGATTCAATTCAAGCAACAACAACGTCAAACTCAGAATAACAAATTACTTAGGCTATACAAAGTTTAAATAGGTATATAAAACTGAAAATCAGCAAACATTGTGGAACCAAATAAATAAGAAACATAGAACATTTATTAGCAAAACGAATAAGAAAGCTTGGAGGCACGGCATATACACCTTGATGTAAAATAAAATAAATAAAATACACAAAGTTTAAATAGGTATATAAAACAAAAAATCAGCAAACACTGTGGAACCAAATTTAAAAAGTGTCTGTCCTCTAACCGAACTAGGCTAAAATATTTTTGTTACTATAAAAAAAATCAAAACGACAGTGGGGGTTGGTGACGTAACCCAGTGTTGCGGTATAACCGAAAACACCATCTATCGCAGCAAGCCTAATAAGATCATTGTAACAATGACTTCTTTCTGAATAAAAGTATGCATTTCTTCCACATAAAAAGTCAACTTTTGGACAGAAATGTATATTAATAAACTTAAAACTTAAGTATAAACTTAAGTGGTAGAGGATATGTAGAATTTCAAATTTTTTGCGGTTTGAAATCTGCAGAGCTCTGTGGGCGAAGGTTTCGTGTGGGCCTGTTTATAAAGCAGTTTGGGCTCCTTAGCATTTTTCTTTCTGTGGAGTCATTCTCTTATTGCTATGGTAACATCATAGAAACAAAAGCTATAGCTGCATATGTTGAGAATTAAATATTTATTTTCTGTGGAAATTGTGAGTCATCTTTTTTTTCTTCATTTTTTTGTGGAAGCTTTTTGGATTATCACACTTACTAGTCAGGTGGCATGGCGATTGTGCTGCTACTTTGAGATCGGTGGGTTATCACTCTAAACCATTTAAGCGTGTCACATTTTTGCATGTTTGTGACATGCCAGAGCGAATGGTTTCAGTTCAGCTTTCTGTCTATAGACTGAGGAAGCTTGTTCTCCTTAATATGCAGTGATTGTTTTGCTGGCTTCAGCCATGTGATGTTTTTAAAGCTTATTTTCACGTACGTCAGGGAAAGAAAGCATGACATCCTGCTTTGCATCTGGCTCGTCCCACTATGCCATGTGTCTGGTGTCTGTAGTGTCCGAAACAATCCTCTCTAACGACCCAAGACTGAACTCTCTGAAATTTCAGCCGCAGCCCATTTCCACAAACACACGCAGCTGCTGTTGTTTCCAGATGTACAACACCACCTAGTGGCTTTCTCATTGATACACACGGTTTGTCTGTCAGGTTTATGAGTGTTTCTTCAAACTATGGCCTCTTTGGGTCCTCTTGAGAAAGCAAATTTTCCTTTAAACACACCTTTCACCCTCTGACGACTAATTTAATTTAATTTGTCCACTAACAATGCCCCTCGTGTCAGTTATGTACTGTGTTACGTACTTTCTGCTGTGGAACATAAAAGAAGATAGTTTGAGAAATGTTGTATGCAATGTAAGTCAGTGGTAACCAAAACTATTTGGTTATTCTCGTTCTTCAAAACGAGATTACGGTTTGTAATGACATGAGAGTGAGTAAATGATTTTCATTTCAACTATCCCATTAAATAATAATTTTACACTTTTTGTATATTTGGACAAAATTACAGCTTGATTGGAAATGACGCACATTAAAAAATGATCCCGTTCACAAGTGATATTTACCTTGATTTTACTTTTTCATCACGTCTCATGTGTCTTAGCATTAGTTAGTTTGGTCAGTTAACTATTTTAGTTAGTTTATTAAGTTAGTTTTGTTTAGTTCATCATTTATCGTCATTTATATCCAGTTAGTAATTTTAGTGCGTGAAACCTATTTCAATTAGTTACCATGGCAACATTTCTCATTTTTGTTTAGTTCAAGTTTTTTGTCTAATATTTATTCTTTTTTTTAATTTCAGATTTATTTAATTTAAAATGAAAATATTTTTTAATTAAAAATGTTTTTTTCTCTTATTTTATTTATTTCATTTAACATTTAAAAAAATTTTTTTAATCGTTTTTGTTTTAGCTAACAATAACTCCACTTTGCAGCCAAATATAATAACTTTTGGGGGAAAAGCTCTTGCAAAATGTTGGTTGTTGTGGAAATGATGCCACAAATTGATAAATCATTGTACAAAATAAATATTTAATTGGTTTAGGTTTATTTAATTATTTTTTTAGATCATGTTTGTTTAAAATATGTAATTATTAATATTATTTGTCTTTAATGGATTTTCTTTGCATTTAATGGATTACTGGGTGACAAGGGTAAAACAATAAAATATGCTGAAAAGTTTGAAAATCTAGTTTGAAAAGTAGCATAAATAAACAAAACCATGGTAAAAATATAAAATATTAATAAAAATAAACTTAGAAAACATCTGTTAATTAAAAAAACGACAACAACAACCCCTAACTGTAGCTGAAAACTCCATATAGACTCCTCTAGTTGTAAAAGGTATGTTCAGCTTGGTAACATGCCTTTCTTCTTCTCTCTCCCCTTCTCTTTATCTTTCTCACAGCAGGTTTTGTTCAGCGCAGGATTTCGAGTGAATACAGCCGAGCGAGTGCAGCGGAGGACGCAGCAGAGCCGTCACCATGTGCATTTGACAAATAACCGGTAATTGTAATCTGTGTGTCTGTCTGAACTCTTGTGCTGCAGCCTTTTGGCAAATGAAAGCATTTGTGCTGCTGTTACTTGCTGTATTTGTGTGTGATGATGGCTGAATTCGAGCTGTGATTAGGATTAGTCTGCAGTTTGGCAGTGCCGTGAAGTCAGTCAAACTCTCTGCAACACCTGTTACAAACTCTAAAACACACACACACACACACACACACACACACACACACACAGATACTAATGGCTCCGTAGCACCTGTTCACTCTCCGAGCAAAACACACCCACATGCTGTCATTGTCAGTCCCATTACTGTCTGAACACCTGCTTTTGTTTCACGTGTAACCAAATGCTGACGGCAGTGTGTTGATAGTGAAGCCCACAGTCATAGTGTTTATTGACGTCGCTGAGCACATTGTTCTTTGGAAGTAGTGTACTACAGTTACATCGCTTCACTAAAACTTTAGATTAACAACACACCCACAACTTAACAACACCTGTGTGGTTTAGAGGTGAGGAATGTGTTAAGCATTGTTAATTTTAAATCGTTCTATGGTGTGACAAACAACTCAACAGCACTTGTGGAATATTGTTGATTAGAACAAAAATCTATTTTGATTTAAAAAAGCAAAAATCTGGATTACAGTGCACTTATAATGGAAGAGATTGGGGCCAATCTATAAACATAAAATGCTCATTGTTTCAGCTGTGTAACTGCAACACTTGAACAATAAATTGTGATGCCTAAAACCTTACAATAACCATAAAAATGATGAAAATAAATTACAAATAATCAAATAATGCTCTAGTTTGAAAATGAAATGTTGCCACAAATTGATATAATTTTCACACAGATTGATATGAATAATTTTCACACAAATTATGTTGAATTAGTTATTTATTTACTGTTATGTTTTTATTAATATTTTAAATTGGCTTTTATTTTTATATATTTTCAGCTTCCATTTTAATTGTACTTTTTTTTTTTTTTTTTTAGAATTGTATGTACTTTTGTCATTTTGTCACATTGATTTTTTTTTAAAGTATTGCTGTTTAGATTTAATTTATTTTTATTTCAATTTGAGTTTTGTTAATTTGTATTAAACATTTTTTAAATCTTTTTTTTAAACCATTAAAATAATCGTCAAAATGACAAGAAGAATTGTACAGCTCAAAAAACAAACATTAACAGAAAAAAACATGTTTTTATATAACAATATTCTTAACATTTCTGTTCTTAAACACGCCAAAAATTGGGCCCATTTATGATGATTTATTTGTACTGGACCTGGAATATTCTTTTTAAAAGTGCAAATGTTCCATGTAGTTATAAAAGCTGCATGCATAGTAAGCAAAAAAACTATCTATTTAAAATGCTTTTAGATGGAGTTTAGAATGTCATCTGTCTGAAAAAGTAAATTATCTGTGAGTTTGATGCTAATTGACTTAAAAACAAACGTAAATCTTGACCCGAGTCGTCTCAGAGCATTATAAATCTTTTTTTTCCATCCAAAATCCCTGGCCAAAACGACTCTGAGAGGCTCTAAGACGAGGATTTGCTGATGCACTTGACTGGAAAGCATTGCTAAAACATCGCTAAAGCCGCTATAAATCCACAGTCAGGAGCTTCATACAAATAAAGGAAAGATCATAACTGCACCGTCCCATGAGAGGTTGTGTAACTAAAATCACTGCAGGACTCTAGACCACAGAGAAAGAGCATTTTCCAGAAGAAAATTACTGTCTGTCTCACTCTCAACTGCTGGATGAATGTGCTGTTGATGAATGAGAGAGGAGGCTAAACTGGACCTTTCTGGCATAAATGAGAATCATTATGTTTGATGCTAATGAAAAACAATATTTCAACACAATCTTTTCCAAGCACTGAAGTGGGAGTACTATAGTTTTGGGTAGGTTTATGGAGCCCGTGGATCTGAGCAGCTTGCAGTCATTTAGAAAACACTGTACTTTTACCAGTTTTGTGCATTTAGGAATCACCAAAGCCAAAATCCAGGCCTGAACTCACCTGTAATGCGTGGGTGTGTGTGTGTGTGTGTGTGTGTGTGTGTGTGTGTGTGTGTGTGCAGGGGGCCATACAGGCGAGCTGAGAGGATGACGATGGTGAGTGAGCTCCATAGTGTCTGATGGTTTGGTAATAATGGACGTCCCCAATGGCCAGCCCATCATCTCCACCTTCACGACCCCGGCCTCAGAGGTCAGGAAACACACAAATTAAACACGTGCTGTTTACCTGCTTCACCCTGCATGTTTTATAAAGTAATCAAATGATAAAAACCTCCTTTCACTCATTTGTGTGTTTTCGTCTTTCGCCTATCCTGTCATTGTTTCCTCCAGAGGAGCAGCAGTTCTGAGTCCCTCAGTGAGAAGGGCCCCTCAGAGCTCAAGAGTTTTGACGCTGTGGTGTTCGACGTGCTGAAGGTCACGCCAGAGGAATATGCAGTAAGTCAAACTTCCCCCGGTGTGCGTGAGGCCTTTTGTGTTTTGTATTCGCACACTTTTCACTTTTCATTCACCCAGATTAAGCAGGCATATTGAATGGGGGAAAAACAGGTTTTCCTTATTTTCTTGCCCATAGCTGATCACATGCCTGTTTCTAAAAGATAACAACATACCGATTTGAATACGCAACACAAGGCAGTTTTTCTTTTTTTCTTCACTGAATTTGTAATGCAAATCATTTATAAATCTGTTGTCGCCAAGAGAAGCTTTAAGGTCTCTGTGCTGTTTCTCATCAGTATAAAATCTCTATAGTTTAGTTCAGGGGTCTCCAAACTCTCTCCTGGAGGGCCGGTGTCCTGCAGAGTTTAGCTCCAACCCCAATCAAACACACCTGACCAGCTAATCTAGCTCTTACTAGGCATAGAAACTTCCAGGCAGGTGTGTTGAAGCAAGTTGGAGCTAAACTCTGCAGGACACCGGCCCTCCAGGAGCGAGTTTGGAGACCCCTAATTTAGTTTAACGTTTAATGCAAAGAAATTAAGACAGCCATAAATACTGGTATTGTAATTTAACTGTTGTTCTGTAAACGAAAATTATTGTTGTTGTTCTTATAAAGAAATATATTACTATTGCAATAATACTATTGTACTGTAAAATAATAAAAAATAGAGTATGAATAATAATAATAATATGTATTGTTGTTATTATGAATAAATACCTTTTATTTTACAGTACAGTGATATTATTGCCAAAGTAATATTTATTTGCTGATTTAAAAAAGTTATAATTTAAGTGAAACTAAAATATTATTTTTGAATAATTATTATAAAAATATAATAATTATAATATTTATTATTATTAGTAGTAGTAGTATTAATTGTTTTTATTTTACAGTACAATATTACTGCAATTATTATTATGCTGTTGTTGTAGTTATTATATAGTCATACTGAAGGTGGAAACTGATTTTTTTCTTTTTTTGTTTCTTTTTTTGTCCTTCACTGCTAACATGCCCGAAAATTTAACTCAGAAATTAAAATGTTCTAAAAGAAAATAACAGCTTACTGGTTTGAAAAGACATGATGGAGAGTTAATAATTACATAATTGTCATTTTTTGGTAAATTATTCATTTAGCATCCTCCAATGTTGTCCAATCGTAAGTAGACGCTGCCAAATGTGATTTTTGATCCAATCCATCCCAGACACTATGATTAAGGTGCCCAATAAAGTCCTCTGTGATATAAACTACTCAAAAGAGAAGGAGGGTGATCACCCACAAAAATGTTCCTGTATCTTGTGATTTGTAGCAATGGCCTGGTAACAGGTGTAAATGGAGCCAAAGAAACCTTAGAAAAACACATGGAAAACAGAAAGAGATATGAGCACAGAGAGAGAGTAGTAAATACTTCAGTACAGTTTCAGTAATAATGAATGATTATTTGGCTGACGATTGTGCAGGCAGCGAGTTTAAATTAAACACCAGAATCTGAGCAGGGCTATCAAGCTCTCCTTTCTCTGGTAATACAAGGACTCTGTTTCAAATGAAACTCCCAGCTGAACTCTCTTCTGAACTTGAGGAAAAGATACACAGCTGCTTGTTGACTCATACTTGCTTTAAAGGGATAGTTCACCCAAAAATGAAAATTTGATGTTTATCTGCTTACCCCCAGGGTATCCAAGATGTAGGTGACTTTGTTTCTTCAGTAGAATACAAACGGAGATTTTTAACACAAACCGTTGCAGTCTGTCAGTCTTATAATGGAAGTGAATGGGAATCACGGCTTTGAGAGTAAAAAAAACATACACAAACAAAACCAAATTAAACCATGCGGCTCGTGACGATACATTGATGTGTAAAGACACGAAACGATCGGTCTGTGCAAGAAACTGAACAGTATTTATATCGTTTTTTACCTCTGATTCACCGCAATGTCCGAACTGTCTCAACAGCCGGCGCATGACATCGTCGTCGTCTTCGTGCTTTATGGCGGATCGCAGACTTATAAGTGCATTACCGCCACCTATCTCTCAAATGGACCATTGACACTCCTAATTGAGATTGTAAATAGAGTGTCAATGGTCCATTTGAGAGATAGGTGGCGGTAGTAGTAGGTAGGTAGCCCTGGGGGTAAGCAGATAAACATCAAATTTTCATTTTTGGGTGAACTATCCCTTTAATCAAGCCGCGATCTGTGGCGAATCACTCGCAGCTGGAGAACTGACTTGATTTTAGCATTTTATTTCTTCCTGTAGTCTGCTTATAATGTTACTCAACGTTTCTTGCACCACAAACATTCGTAATGAGTTTTTCATGATCATTTACTGCTTTCTTTATGATCCTCAAAATTAAATCACTGTTTTTGCTACTGTACCTTTTAGACTTCTTCACGTAGATGATCTGGATTATGATTGGCTAATCTCGTCACGTGACGAAAGGCGTTGTTCACACTAACGATTATTTAATACGAGTCAAATTATTAAGCAGGGCTGTATATCTCACTGATTTGATTCAGTTCTGACTTCCAGGCTCTCGATTCGCTTTGATTTTGATTCGATTTAAGGGGCGATGGGCAGAAAAACATAACACCAGACTGCCTGGAGAAAGTTACCCACTAAAGCATTTATTTTTTAAGAGAGTGGAGAACATTTACAGAATTTAGAGTGGCGTAATCCATCTTGTGAAACCAATGAGTCACAGAAAGCTGTGTGTGGTCGACACTCGTGATCTGCAAACCGATTCAACGCCATCTGCAGTGAACATTTTCACACTTCCAGTGATTAAAAACATCAGTTTCTGATTCCCCCCCCCTCAATATCACATTTATCAAATAAAAATTGTAATTTAATCTGTAACATTTTTTTTTTGCATGCCCGTTTCTGCCACGGAAAAAAAAAGAATAATTATGACTGTCTATCTCACCATTCAGATTTGTATTTATTTATTTATTTTATTATTTTTATAATTTTTATTGCATTTTTGAGGAAAAAAAAGTAAGAATTGTGAGATATGAACTCAAAATTCTGACTTTTATGTCTCGCAATTCTGAATTTCTTTTTCTTAATTCTGAGTTTACATATTGCAATTCTGTTTTTGATTTTTATTTCTGCCATGAAATAAAGAATAAAAAGATAATTGTGACTTCTTATCTCACAATTCTGACACATTTTCTCACAATTGCAAGTTTCTATTCAAATTCTAACTTTATATCTCACAATTCTGACTTTTCGTCTCAGATTTCTTAGAATAAACATCAGTATTGTAAGATATAAACTTGCAATTGTGAGAAAAAAGTCAGAATTTTGAGATAAAATAATCACAATCACCTTTTTAAATTAATTTATTTTTTAATCCTGTAGTGGAAATAATCTTCTGTGATTTTTTTTCTTCTTCCAGCCTAATGCTGAATACTAAAATAGTGTTAATATGTAAATGTGGGTGATTTTTAGCATCAGTTACTGTCAGCTTTATAATAATGAAAAACCTGAGCTGCTACGAAAGGCAAAATTAGATTGTAAATACTAGTCAGATGTCCAAAACCAAGCAAAGCTTTTATTAGCTGTGCAATATGTGACATATCTGATAGTGTCGCCAGGGGACGCTCTCTGTGTTTCTAACCCCAGTATGCGAGTAAATGCACTGACCTGATTCTGCACACGCCTGCTTGAACGTGTCTTTATCTGGGGTACAGAGTTTCTTTCTGTGCTTTATTTATTTATGGCCCAACCCATTAACCTATATACAGTACATCATCCCAGTCCCAGTCTCAAGCCTGTGCTGAAGTGTGTTTTATTTATGTGCACACACACTCTCCACACGCACAACGTTCATGCATCACTGGAAAATGTCTTGTGAATGGCAACTGAGCAGTGGACAGAAGATGATATATTATTCATGTGTCTGTTAGAGTGTGTAGACCATTCACACGCTCTCATGTTATGGTGGATAGTGAAGTCGACACTGAGTCTTGTTTCAAATAAGCCCATAAATACAGAAACTCTCCTGTATTTCACAACATCTCAAAGATAACATCTCTGTCACTTCTAGTAAAAAACAGTACAGAAAAATTCCTAAGTGAAATACTTTCCTCTTAAAACCCATTAAAAATGGGTGCCAACAGTGTCATATAAAACATATAAAGTTTTATGTTGTGTGCTGATCTGTCATCTGTGCTGTCCTGCAGGGTCAGATCACTCTCATGGATGCTCCAGTGTTCAAAGCCATCCAACCTGAGGTAAGTCTATTGTTCATGATAGCACTGTGCTAACTTATGCACAGTGTCCAAATGTTACACTTTGCCACTCCTTCCAGTTGCAGGTGAAAAAAGAAAATTGGCTGTGCATGGGAAAAAAAATTAGACCATGAAATGAGAGTTTGCATTGTTTTTATTAATATCATTGTTATTGTTGTTTTATTATTATCATTGTTTATATATATAAATATAGCGTGTATAGTATAGTATATGTAGTATGTTTCTGATTATGATGGAGTTATTTTTGATGTGTATATATATGTATATTTTATTGTTATTTTTATAAAACATTGAAATGAGTCATGTATGATATGTATATTTAAATTTTATTATTTATTTTAGTGCTGGGCAACGATTAATCGCGAATAATCGCGTCCAAAATAAAAGTTTTTGTTTATATAGTATATGTGTGTTTACTGTGTATATTTATTATGTGTATACATAAATACACACACCTACGGTATATATTTAAAAAATATTTACATGTATATATTTATATTCATATAATTTATATTATATATATATATATTTAATATATAAACAATATATTTTTCTTAAATATATGCATGCATATGTGTGTAATTATATATGCATAATAAATATACACAGTACACACACATATATTATGTAAACAAAAACTTTTATTTTGGATGTGATCATTCGCGATTAATCGTTGCCCAGCACTAATTCATTCATTTATTTATTTCTAAATACATTTGCTCTCCTACAATTACAGTCAATTCCCGATGGACAAAATCATGGACAAAAACTCTTTCCTTTTTTTTCCCCTTTTTCCCCTCGTTCAATAGACTTTCTCACTCTGATATAGAAAAAAAGTTGGTCACAGTTTCCATTTCATGTTGACTTTAAAGTGTTGTCACATTAGAGACAGAAAAAAGAATAGATAAACCACTGATGGTAAAACCGTTCGCTTAGGGGAAGTTGTTGGAACATAGCAGATGTGCAAGTTGCAGCAGAAGCTTTTTTTTTTTTGGTAGCTGGTTATGGTTATTATTTGAATTGCTCACTTCACAAAGGTGAGGTCAAGACTGCTCAAAACATGATGTTGCTATTACTAACACAGTTAGCAGCCAACTGGTGAGTAACTTTTTATTTACACGTCAAAGGCATTTTTTTCTCTTTTAGTGCAGAATGTTTATTTTGGTCAGGGTTTTATGAAGTCCCAGACCAAATTTGTTTGCGTGTGCAAATGTTTCCTTGGTTAAACTAGCTGAAAGCCATTGTTTTGTGTGATTCCTGTGTGACGGACTCACAGGGCTGTCGCTGACTGAAATATCATACTCGCACTGTCAGCCGTACACAGTGTGTTTAATTTGGACAAGTCCAATGAAACCAGCCACTAATAACAAAATAGGCTGTGATATTTAGACCTGGTTTACAGTGGGTACGGAAAGTATTCAGACCCCCTTAAATTTTCAGTTTTTCTTTTTTAATAAATCTGCAAAAATGTCAACGATTCTGTGTTTTTCTGTCAATGTGGGGTGCTGTGTGTACATTAATGAGGAAAAAAAATTAACTTAAATGATTTTAGCAAATGGCTGCAATATAACAAAGAGTGAAAAATTTAAGGGGGTCTGAATACTTTCCGTACCCACTGTATGTGTGGTCCAGGGTTTCCCAGCAGAGGGCAGTAAGAGCACACTGAAATGTTTCTGTTCTTCACGCTCTTCATCCACAGCTTCCATTGGACTGAGTAAAAATAACACCCACACACACACCAGATTAAATATTACACTGAAATATTTTTTTTCTTAACATTATTCAGCCGTTTTTTTTTTTTTCAAATTATTGAAATATTTGTGACAAACAGCACATTATAAAACGGATAGTTCCGGTCCTTGATTCTGATTGGTAGGGCTGGGAATCGATTCCAAAAAGAATCGATTCCTCGATTCCGAGGCGTTGGAAATAGAGTCGATCCCAAAGGTTGGAATTGATTCCATTAAGGGGAATCGATTCCTCAATCAGAGCCTTTTTCAGTTCAACAAAGCTTATCTTAGGGATGGGCGATACCACTTATTTTGTTTTCGATACGATACCGATATTTTTCAAGGCAGTATCGTTGATACCGATACGATACTTCTGAACTAAACTTTTAAATGATGAAATTTATTAAATTATTAAATTACTAAGAGTAAAATGGGTAATGATAACCACTTAACTTTATGTTTAAAACACATTTTAACATTCAATACGGCTTAATTTTAATTTGTTAGGTTATATTTTTGTTTACACATGGTTCAAATGTGTGTTTTGTTTACACATGATTCAAATCTACAAATACTACAGTTGAACTGTGGTCACTTTAGTAAAACCATGGTTCATTATCATAAGGGGCTGCCAGTGACCGGCTGTTGCAGCCATAAAATGCAATTTTTTTGTTCTGACAGTGTATGATTTCTATTAACATTACAGAATAGAACATGATCTATATTATCTTTCAACGTTTTTTGATTTTTTTAAATTCAATACGTAGATCAGTGGCCGAGAGCGCATCTGATTGACAGATAAACCACAAGCTCTATCGGTTATTGATAATATTCTGGTTATTTTGTTTCAGTAAAACGCATGTCCCTGCTGAGATGTGGGCTAGCGACTAATTTCACGGGCAAAGCAGTCAAAATTACAGTTTACGTATTGTAATTTATTTATTTTTTTTACAAATAAAGCTTCATATTATGAGAAGGATACATTCTACGACCTATCCTGCAGTCATCATGGTGAGATTAGGTTCCTTTAATCTAAAAAAACAAGAATCGAAAAGTATCGATATTTTTAGTTTGAGTATTGATACTTTCGATATATCGATACTTAGGATCGATACGCCCATCCCTAGCTTATCTATGGGTGCCTCTCAAATGGAAGGCTGCATCCTAAGAAGCCAGAACCAGGAATCGGACTCGATTCCAAAAATTTCGGAATCGAACGGCCCTACTGATTGGTTGAGCCAAGTTCGAAGCTGTTGTAAATTACTCTACAAACATACACCTTTGTTTACATTTGGGTGTTGCAACCACTTTGTTGGAACCACAACCGTTTCTGAGGAACTACATTGTTTAGCGGAAGAATAATGTTTTTATTAATATCATTACACTTTATTTGCTCTGTTTTATTTTGTGAAACCTTACTACGTATATGTTTTATAAAAGCAATAAGCCCCGTGAAGCCGTGGTCCGGCTTCTTGGGGCTTATTGCTTTATTTCATTACGGCATAAGCATTATTTCGCTAGCAGCATTATACTCAAGATGAGTCAGCCTCCATCGCTCAATAAAATGGCATCTGCCGCAAAAACATAAAAATTCATAATAATTTTGTTTCAGATATGTTTGCCTTAGTGGATAAATAGATTGTTCACACAAAAACTCTAAATAAAAATTCTGTAATTTACTCACCCTCATATCGTCTCAAACATGCATGACTTTCTTCTGTTGAACATAAAAGAAGATACTCTAAAAAATGTTTTATTTAAAAAAAAAAATTATTTTGTAAAATGCAAAATAAAGGTGACCAATACGGTTTGATTATCAACATTCTACAAACTATCTTACTAAAATGATGATGAGTAAATGATGACAGACTTTTCATTTTTGGGTGAACTATCCTTTTGAATGTGAAGAATATTACACGTGATGGCACATGGAGGGGGAAAAACTCTGTGATAAATGTCTATGATAGACCTGGCGACCGAAGCTTCTGTAGAAGAAACCCGCAGCTATATAGAGTACCAAATAAATGACTGTGGTTATTTTGCTTATTGACATCTGGGCCTTGGTCTCCACTCACTGCCCTCCATGTCGTCCTCCCTCTCTGCTCTTTGAACGATTTATTAGTGCATGCATGTTTTATCCACTGTCTGTAAGGCTGGGCTTTCAGCCACACAGACTGTGATTTATAAAGCATTTGATGAGGCTACCACACATTGAATACTAATGTAGCGTTTGGGTTTTTTTTCTGACTGTAAGAGACAAAATCATGACGACTGAGGGTGGGAACTAAATGTTATGTGATTTGTTTAATGCGTTTGTGGGAAATTATTGTGTCTGGTATTAATTTTTTTGTCATTATTTATGGTAATTACAGTAAACTGTGTGATTAGGTCTACCGTTTTCTGTCGTTGAACGGTTTGATTATGCAGCGGCGTTATTTGGCTTTGAGCAGTTTTTTGGATGCTTGCTTGGAGAGGAGAGGAGAGGAGAGGAGAGGGTGAAAATGCAGGTCGCCTCTTTGGAAAGATAAGGGTCTGGTTCTCTGGAAGACAATACAGAACTAACCTCTGATTTTCAAAATGTCTGGGATTGATTTAGCCAAGCAGTTTAGCCAACATGCGTATCATTCGACAAATTATGTTTATAGATGATGGTTCTTTCAATTTTCTGGATCAGATCTGGCTTTCTGTCTCGTTTTGTGTGTATCTGGCAGTTTTAGTATTCTGTGGAAGGGATTTGTTGAAGGATTATTTGCGCTTTTTTTGAATCTGGCAGCACATCCATTTGTGTCGTTGTGTAACATGAGAGTAAAAGGCAGAGGGTGACGTGATATGAATGTGAATGGCAGGCTACTGCTTTATCATGCACTGTTGTTTCTGATATTACACATTGTAAAGTTAGTAGTGTCAGGACAAAAGGTAGTGTAGATTCTTATTTTGACAAAAAAAAAAAATTGTTGTTCTGGTGATGGCTGGGTTTAATTAAAAGATATTCAAAAGTTTGAATTATAAAATTTTATGCCTGTAGTCAGAAGATGTTCTCACTAATAATGTTCAGATTGAGTGTGTACAGTAGACCCGTCCATATGCAGCATGATCCTGTATGGCAGCAATATGAGCTCCTGGCTGTAATGCAGACCAGAGGCTTTTGTACATGCGTTAAAACACTAAAACTTCATGAAATGTCTTTTAGAGTGATGTGTAAAATGACGTAACTTTTTCCAGCCTACATGCATGCAAACATCTCCGGTCTGT